CCTTGAATATCCTTGGAAATTTCCAGTATTTATTTTTGAAAAAAAATATGTAAAGGACTGAATTTCGTCCTTCTAACTTTATTAGTTTTAGATAAAAAAAAAATTACACTTCTCTTAATAAGATATTGATTGTTACAATATACATAAATGAATATAATGGAATCATTATTATGAAACCATGTATGCGCTCTAAAAGAACAAACTTAACGTGTTGATGTACGGTTTAAGTACTTTAATTGTTTCGTATACAAGGGCGTAGCCAGCCTTTTATTTAGGGGGGCTGGAGTTTATATAGAGGGAAGAAATGCTTTTAATAAATTTTTTTTTTCTGTGTATACAAATAGAAATTTTTGTGTTTCAGAACGTATAAGTTTTCTGGTATCCTTTACAACGATATCAGTTTTTTTAAATTGGTTTGTACTTTTTTTGTATAATATATTTTATTTATAAGAAAAGGTATTTTTTTTGATTTTAAGTGTTTTTTCTGAAATTTTTATATACGAAGTATTCAAATACTCAAACTAGAAGAAAGGGGGTTTAATCGCCTTTACAACGATACCATATCGGTTTGTAAGTTCTTTGCTGAAAATATTTTTTTATAAAACAAGTTATTTTTTCTTTCTAAGTGTTTTTTCTCAAATTTTTATATACTTTTAATTTTTTGAAGACCCGACCACATAACATCTATAATATAAGTTTGCACAAAATAAGGTCTACGTCTATATTTTTAGTGTTTTAGTTATTTATGTACATATAATAATAAAAAATTATTTTTTACCAAAGGCCCGTTTTCGAACTTCAAAGGCCCATATCTCGATTTCGGAGGCTAACTTCGAGAAACGGAGAAATCTCTTTTTTACCTATGACTCAATCTCTTAAAAAAAAATGGGCTGGTCCAATACCCAGCCGAGTGCTGTACAGTGTAATGATTCCAGTATTTTCATTTATGTTTATTGTAAATATCAATATTTTTTAAGAGAAGTTTAGTTTTTTTTTATCTAAAAATAATAAAGGTAGAAGGACGAAATTCGAGGATGTGATAGTTTTCATATAACTCCTTGATATATTTTTTCAAAAATAAATATTGGAAATTTCCAAGGATATTCAAGGGTAAAATTTTAAAAGGACATTTTCAACACTTATTCCTCCTGGTGAACTAAAAAATTATTTCTTTTTTTTTTAATTGTGCCGAATTTTTCCTCTTAATTGATACCCATATTGTTACTCTACAATGCACCAAATCCTTTAAATAATTTTTTTATTCAATCATATCCTAGAAATTGCAAAAAATCCTGACGTCAGAGAGAAAAATTAAAGACGCAGTTATATATTGATTTTTTCGTGTGTTTTAAGAATTTTTGGTTTTTATCGCACGGTGTAATAGTCAAGCAAGAGAGGTTTAAGTTTAACTTTGTTTCAAAAGTATTTTTTGAAGAGGTGTCGGTTAACCCTGAAATTTATCTTAACTCAACTTAACTTAGTGCCGGTTACTCAATGTCTTGTTAACACTAACCACAGGTTAAAGGTCATTATCGACGTTATCCACCCCTTGTTATATGTTATGAAGTCGTTCACGTCGATTACGGTGCTTTGCCTGCAGTTAGCAATAACCAGACATTGAGTAACCGGTCGTTAGTGACTTTTTTTTAGACCGAAAATAAATTTGTTCTATCTTTATGTTGTCTTTCAACAGTGCATTATTTTCCAAATAAAGTAACCCCATAGTTGGCTATTAGTGTATTCACAAGGGACGTAAGCGTTCTAAAGTCGTAAAATGATGATGATTGATGTGAAATAACGGTTGAAATGGTTTTAAGGGTGTCTTAGTGTATAATAATTATATATGATAAGTGTATTAAGGTCAACCAACTAGTCCTTAGTTAGTATGGTGATGTTGACTAGGATAAAAAACATGCTTAGCAGCATTTCACTGAATATGTTTGTGTATTTTCAGATTTTATTTCCGATTCGAAACGATCAAATAATGTACAGGTATCTATAATAATCGCTGCATTAAATTAAGCCATAATACATGAACAAACTTCTGAGAATTATAATCCACATTCCTTTTCAATTTAGACAATAAAATCACTTACACTATATTATTTTTCTTAAACCAAACATTTATTAGCATATTTATGTATGCAGAAATATGTACATAATTATGTATAATGTACGTATACATTTATTTAAACTTATAAAGGAAGCAGACACATATCTTCATTAAAATGGCAGTGCATAAGCTCGCTTTATGCCATTCAAAAAAATACAAAATTGCACGTACATACATACACATGTACACATATACTGATTTGTAGTACATTTATTTACTATAATTGAAATGTACATAGTGTCCTTGTTATTGTTTTGCCAATGCCTTTAACATTGCTTGTTTTTACTGCTCTACTAATTTCACTAACGTACTACAAGAGGCTTTGGTGTGTCCAGTTAATGCATCTGGCTTAATAAAGTACACGTATGGGCTTAGGTATACCTACTAACTAACTTACATAAATACTGGTAGCTTTAGATGTGCAAACATAAATTTTATTTAGTGTACTGCTGAGGCATACAGCCGGATATAATATTTACTGCCCTTGAACGTTTTAGTACCAACATCTTTTTTGACATTTTTATGTACAGTTACACACAAAATTGAGTATACAATGATTTTTTTATGTTTAATTTTTGTTTTAATTTTTAATTTAAATATGGCTTATACTCATTTCAACAAACACCATATAAATCCAAAATAAAGACTTTTTATTTATTTATTTTAACAAACGTCAAACGTCAAATTTAAGCTCTCCAGGGCCAAGGGAAACATATTTCCCAAAAACTCCTACACTCATAAGAATATTGTGTGCATTTGCGTGGTTCTTTATTTACGTTTTCATAATCTTATCTTACAGTTTTAAGAAAAGCATTTAAAAACAAACATACTTAAAATTTGGTAAAAAAATTTCCCCAATATTTTTCGAAAAAAATTTCAGGGTTTCACGAAAAATAAGTTTAAGAAAAATATGGATTTTTATTAAAAAAAAACGATTTCTTGAAAAAAAAAATAATTCACAAAAATTTAAAAAAAACTACCAGACATAAAAAATTTTAACGATATTTTGAAATTATCTTTATCTTGGAAAAGATAAATTTGTTTTGAAAAAACATATGAATCCCAATTTTACTTCGGTTTAAAATGTATGTATGTATGTATGTACATACATAATGAAATTTTTTAAATTTTTCTTAGAAAAAAAGAGCTGTAGGGATTTGAGATAAAATATATAAGAATAAAATATAATTATATAAAAAAACTTATTTAACCAAAATGATAAATGAAAAAAATATTTTTGGGTAATGAATATTTTTTGGGAGAATTATTTTCATCCCTTAGATAAAAATCCAAAAAAGTATGAATGACAACTTTACATTTGCATTAGCTTTTTTTGGGCATCGCAATTTGCAATTCAAATCCTAACTTTTTTAAAAGAATTCTGCAAAATTTCAAACTCTTCAATTTTTCACTTTTTATATATGGAAGTAAACGCGGAGTATTTTCAACATTCATCGCAAATTTTAACAGTATCAAAACATGCACATTATTTCATTAAAATTGAATGCACTATTAAACTGCATGCCCAACAAATACATAGGTACAACAAATTTGAAATGTGCGTGAAAATTTGCAGACTTCTTTTAAATTGATTTGGTGTTTCTTAAAATATAAGCCAAATTTTAATAGATAAAAATTAAAAAAAAAATAAATTACATTTAAATCATGAACATTTAAAAAAATTACGCGCATACTGCATTTTGTGAGTAACTGTATGTACGTACATAGCTATGTAGGCATATATAGTAAGTTCATGTAATAATTTGTTCTTTCCTTTGCTTTCCTTTTCTTTCTTTGCTTCTTTGAACGATAAACCTGCGAATTTCTCTCCATTCTAATGCAACAGTACCAACGGCCAGCATATTGGGTGGACCTGATTTGTATGTGGACAGAGGAAGTACAATTAATCTGACATGTGTAATAAAATTCAGCCCTGAACCACCGACACACATTTTTTGGTATCATCAAGATAAGGTAAATAACAACTGTAAGCTGGTATATGTGTACTCTTGCATAAGCACACATGTCTTTACCATTTATTAAAGAAAATTTATCAGAAACGTTGTAGATACAGATGTGTCTTAGATAAGCAAGAAACAGGATAATGTTATTCAATAATGTTTGTTCTTAAAAAAATATGTTTGTTCTTGTTCGAGGAGTTATGCAGTTATGCTCCGTTTACATTATGCCAATAGCAGGCCACACCAATGAGCCAGGCCAGCGCTGGACTGGAATGACGACTATCTACAAAGGACTAGATTGAACCAACAAAAGCATACCATTCATTTTAATTTTACTACTTATACAATACTTTTGGCATTTGGTGGTACATCCTTAATTCCAATGTATAGAAAAACCCCTATGTCTACCGGAGACATTTCTACAGGCGCTTTGAAAAATCAAGGACATCTCGCTGCTTACTACTTGAATCGCCGGAAAGAACAACTGCCAATCATCACATGCATTGTCTGACATGCTAACTTTGCAAAACATCAAGTTCTAAATATTTTCCATTAAGCTTAGGTCCTGTGAAAAGGACAAACTTTGAAAAAAATTACGACTTTGCTTCCTTATGCTCGCTTTTACTTCTCCTGTAGGGCGGATTGTTGCGTAACTTTACTGGCATATTCGAGAATAAGGTGCGAAAATATGCGTTAAATACTAAAAAAAATGTCCTTAATACTTTTTTTGCAAGAATTATTCGTAATTTTGGAAACTTGAAATATTATCTTAACTGTTCTGGACTACGAAATCGCGGTCAGACCGCAATACGCTCTTCTTGATCACGCAGGGGGAAACAAACAAAGTTAATCCTTTCAAAAAGCATTTCAATTATTATTAAATCGTTGTAGCCATCAAAATTTAACTTTTCGCCGGACAAAACAATTATTTTTTAGTATTCTATATAGTAAAATTGATGCCCTTTATTTACATTTTCTGAGCACAAGTGTATGGAGTAATCCGTAGTTCCATTCATTTTGGTCCACTATCTCGACAATACGCTGGCTTCAGCAATCAGAAACATTTCCTTCAGTTTTATTTCCAACAGATCGCCTACAAATTCCTGGATCCATGAAGCCCTCAATTTATAGATTTTTTGCAGCTGAAAGTGCCATGGTTTCGCCCATTCTTGCTGTGATATAGGTCTGATTATCCTTTAAATTCTTAAAAAGGTTTAAAGTTGAGTTATAATAACTTTACTATACACATAAGGAGGCTACTCATCCTTATACATATTCAAGTGAATCAAAATAATAAGCATTCTTTTAAGTAAAGTAAAATCCAAACTAATCGAGGGGTTTTCTTAATTTCTATCACTTTTCTTCGTTATGAATCATACTTTAAAACGAGATTTAAAATAAACTTCTCATATGCCTACAAGTCCATATATAATCTTGGATCTTAAGGAAAATATGTGTACCTATTCTAGTGAATCGGACTGTATTTAATTTGTAAACTATTTACCTATATACATGTGAAAATACATGCCAATGGATTAGTCGTCCACACTATTCTAGTCGCACTGGCGTGGAGTGATATGCTACTGGCATATTGTAAACGGGACATTTTTTTTCTGCTGTCGAACTTTATATTGATTTACATCGTGACTGAAATTTATACCACATAATGAATGACTATTCATCTCTCAAGAAGTGACTCTATTTTCGGCAAACGCTATAGGTCCAGAACAAAAAGGTTCTTTTACTAATCTTTACGAACATCGGTTTTTTTTCTTTTGTCGGAAATAACGTGCTCGTTTTCCCTTCAATCACTCACTATTTACGAATAAATCGGCATAGATTGTTTAATGTTCAAAAGCCTCATATCAATCCTTGCAAAGGTGGGGTAGAAGCACTAAAATTTTTCCACCGTTTGGTGTTATCATGTATGCCTAACATAGTGCGTTATCTACTCAGTGAAACCAAATACATACCTTAGCAGTTTTTTTTTTGAGGGCCCGGTTAAAAATTTTACTCAAATCACTCCTTAGGTTCTGCAAAAAGAAACCAACAAAGGAGGTGGATAATCCATATCCAAACTGATGCGATTATAGTACTGATGGTACATCAGCCAACGCCTCATCAATACCATGTTCGATTAACAACACAGACTGTAAATTAAACCACAAGAGTACTTTTGACATTTTAAGCACAAACGGTCGGTCAATTTCCAAGCCAGCTTCTGTGTAATCTCTTCCGCTCTTTTTCAATGCTCATAAGAATAATGTACCATATATCGCGGCCCAACGATGTCGATTCTGTAATGGGAAAAAGCAATTTCTTCGCTAGTCAGATGCACTGCAAAGGGTACACCGGCCGGTCAAAAAGCGCTCTCGTCGAAAGAACTAGCGTGGAAGAGGCAGCAAACTTTGGATGCCTCACGAGTGTAACTAAGAGATATAAGCCTTCGACTAATCTCTCCAAGTTGGCATTGTTGATTTGGGAAACTTCCAACTAGATGACTAAGGAAGACCCCTTATCGATCACTGACACATATCGCCGTCCATCTGGAGGCGCATACTGACGGGTTTGCGCCGGGCTCTGTACACATTGCCTGTGGCGTCGAAGCAGAGCAACAGCGATCGGCGTCTGATCCGAGGTAGCGCGATCTAAAGGACAGCAGAATACGAATTAGACGTATCCATGTGAACCCATTTCCCTGGGTATGCTTCTGTTAACAAAAACTTCTATCTACTTCCACTTCCAAATGCAGAATAACCATACGTAGGTTATATGATGGAGTCCTTACGACATTACTTTACTCAGACATACGCAAATAAAATTGGAGTGCATGCGGGGAAAATACTTGGTACTAGAGGCACTTTTTCTTTGTCTGGCAAGTCTGTCCCCTGTTTTTTTGGTATCAGTTGCTTTTATACATCCAGCAGTGACAGACAGATGTCGAGGTGTTTAAGTATTTCCTTCTTCTTCCTCTTCTTCTTGTGTGACGCTCTAACCACTTACGGTAAAAAAATATGATGGGGCCACACAGAGAGCGATTTGAGAATTTTCGATAGTAGCGGCAAAAACCAACTTTGGGATTTCAATTTGACGGCGTATACTGAAACGCTGTATTCTTTGCCTAAGCGATTCAAATAAAGCACGCCAGCCGTTTCTCTCCTGTTCCAACTAACTGGAAGTCACGTCCTTTTCCAACTGTTCCTGCCATCACAGAGGAGGCCTTGCTCTTTTTCCGTTACACAAATAAGTACTGCGTTGAATATTTATGGGGTTTGAGTATTCGCGTCCATTTATAGTCTTATTTATTTTTTATGTATTCTTAATAATAAGCTCCAGGAAAGGAGTCCGCCTTTTGTACCATGATGTAAAGCTCTATATTATTTGCTACATGAGTTTCATAACGCATGTATATACCTAAGTCACCCGGAGGCCATAAACCGAAAACAAGAATTGCTATAAGCATTGTGGTGTACCATTAAGCTCATTGCGCTGTTACCCAACTCAATACAAACCACAAATAGTAGTTCCCCATCTTTTTCCTGTTCAAACTTTAAGAAGTAAGAATACATAAGTATTAACTTAAGGCATTTTAGTTGAAGAAGTTTCATTATCGAGAAAAAATATTTGGCGAAAATTGTGTACCTACTCGTACATGCCAGAATCAAGTTTTCATGTTGGCACGCTACCAAAAAAATTTCATCAATAAATTATCGAGTTCGAGTACCGCAATGCCAACAGCCAGCCAAATCAGCAAACCAGGCACTGCTTTGTAGCGCCTGTAGAACTGCGTGAAAACAAGCAAGTAACCAGTTTTAAAAACTTTTATCGCAGCGATTTTTCTCATATGTCACCAACACATACACCCACACAGTTCATTTATTACCGCCCAAGAGTAAAAGAACATACAATGTATGTATGCACTTGCTTTGCAGTGCTGAAGTGTTATAAATACAAGTCTGTCGCAAAGGATGTGCATTTACTTACAAAATATTATACGTAGTATGTATGCATATGTACATGCACACATACTAATGGCCTCTTCCGTTTTCAAATAGTTTAAAGCGAAATCGTTGCCGTAGTGTTGGCGGTGAATCGCGTTGAAAATTGTATTACTGGCAGCGTGGCAATTGATAAGTAGCAACGCCTTCATGCTCATGGCATGAATGTTGAACGCTTGCAGTGCTGCTCAGATTTAACGAGCATGCCACTTGCAACTGCCACATGCAATGAAAAACCTGAAGCCATGCAACGAAAGAAGGTCATACATACATACATACATATGTATAGAGGGAGAAGAAGGCGAAGACGATTGAATCAAGGAAATCTGCTTTACAAGCTGATCATATCGCATTTGTAGACTTGGCCGAGTGAAAGGCGGGAATTGAAAAATAACAAAAGAAATAAGCGATTATAAAAAATGAGTAAATGAAAAATTAAAACAAGCAAAAATATTTTAATAAAAAAAGCTCGCGCATTAATGGGTAAGCTGTGAACGTAAAGTAGCAGCTTGAGGATATCAGCAGCGATAAATGCAGCAAAACCGCGAACGTGGTGAAAGTAGTGTTGATTCAGAAGGTTTTTGTCCTGCCACAGGCTATTGATTATACTTTTACGAGGGGAACTATAAGGATGAATGTATGTATAGGTGAAAAGCGGGTTTCGCACAATTGCACAATTGAGCACACAAAGCCATAATCTATAAACGATTATAAAAAAGTACTTAAATAAATAAATGAAATTGAAGCACGCATAAGCTGCATAAAGTTGTATAGAAGCATAAAAAGCGAAACAGCTAAAGACAAATTAACCCTTGTGCGGTATCATTGACACAGCTGCACCAATTCGGATTTTGTAAACAATTTTTTAATATTATTGATGCATCTAGAAAGCTAAAACTTGCTTCTTGTCTACATTTAAGAATCAAGTAATAGAATTTTATATGTGTTTGCATCACTCACATGTCAGTAGGAGTGGCTAAGGTACATCTACACCCTCGTGGATATCTTTATCTTATCTTGATACAATTGTACAGCTGGCATATATTCATGAAAAATTTACCTTTTTTTCAACTTTCTTTTGTAATATCAATGACTAGTATATTAAAAGTCCGGTAGCTGGCGGTGCAGTGGATAAATCTCTAAAAACCGTATTTACCGTCCGATTTGATTTATAGTCAGGGCATATATCCCCCTTGTGAATGGAGACTTATTTCTAAAAAAATATTCCGATATGTGTCGCAGGAGTAGAGATATTTCTAAAAACTGCATTTACAGTCCAATTTGATCAAAATTCAGAGCGCGTTTGACCCTTATGAATAGAAGTAATTTATCCCAAGTCGATTTGATTAATACTAGTATCTTCCCGTTGTCGGAATTCGGCCACTTCACTTTTTTCACACACTTTTTCATTTTGCCTGGGAAGTGATTTAGGTCCATCAGCACCTGTTAATCGTCTAGCTCACTTACATATATTGTTTGGTGGAGTAATATACATTCTGTTAAATAATTTAAAAATTAATAGATGGTGCAACCAAATCAGGCACCTACCGGAAAATAATACCTTTCGAACAAAAGAAGAATCATTCAAATTGGTTGAGAAACATAGGAGCAGTGGGGAGGAATAGATTTGTATGGGATTTCGTTAGCGTATTAACATATAGATATTAGCCACGCATTTCCCCCCAAAAAACGCCTGTGTCTACCGCCGAAAAACCTATTTTATATTTCAATAATTATGGACTGTGGTTTTAGTTTAAAATACACCCAGTGGTCTAGCTGTGCCAAGGATATCAGCAGAAGGAGTGCGACAGAGAAAGTCGCAGAAAGATTTAACTCAATCGCTTAAAATGGAAATGCACATTATTGCCATAAATCTTATTTCAAGCAATATTTGGTAGTTGAAAAATTCGCCGCGGAATGGAATTTTTCTCAAATGAACTTTTGGTTTCTAGCTTTTATCGGGTTGTATTTTTTTACTCATGCATTATTATCTGAATATAGCGCCATCTATTAGAAAAATTTGCTGACACTTTTTCGACTTACCAATATTTAATACCTTTTTAAACGACTTCCCAAAAAGGAGGAGGTTATCAGTTCATCGGAATATTTTTTTAATTTTCATTTTTTTATTTTTATTTTTAAGTATGTTACCGCACAACTTTGGACCACGTCAACCGATTTCGATAATTTTTGCATCGGAAAAGTGTCTCAGAGGCCGTCCCGTACTAATCTGGTTAAGATCCGATCACTGGATCATGAGATATATATATATATTTTTTTTTTATATGAGAGTAAAAGTCGGTTTTTTTTCGCTAAAAATTACTTGTTCTGCTTTCTCATCCACAGGTACTTTCAGAGGAAACTTCGGGTGGTCGTTTGAAATTCAAAATGATTAAATCCGAAGAAACCAAATCAATATTACTCATCAGCGATGCTGATCTACTTGATTCTGGCAAATATTCCTGCTACCCATCGAACACGGAGATAGCGAGTATACGCGTTCACGTGCTACAAGGTGAGTGCATTAGGACTCCAAATTGTGTTACAGTATCGTAATCCGAGTCCTCTGCTGGCTAATGCAATAAGCTAGTTTATGAAGTAACGCTAATTAACGAGTATTAAACTAGTTCTTAAAGTAACGTTAAGTAAGAGTTGATGCGTAAATATTATACAGGATCGCACTTGTAGATAGGGATGTTTTACCTTATTTCACAAAATGTTTGTTTGTAACAAATTAACGGACTCGAGAAACATCTACATTAGAACACTTTTTTGTTGCGACTATTTTTATTCACTCCCACCTCAAAATTTTGTGAGAAACACCTAAGAAAAATTCCATGAAAATTTTTATATAAATATTACATTAAGCGCTCGACCAAAGCCTGCAAAGATTTGAAATACGCGTAAACTTATTTTATGGTATAATCACGTACAATGATGGGGTTTCTTCAGAATTGAATGCTCTACAAAAGTGTTCATTGCGGCGTAACCCTGTGGCAATAAAAAATTTCTTCAATTTAGCTCAATAATCCATGAAAAAGAAATTCAAGTTTACGTATATTTTAAACGGGAAATCCTTTTTTGAGCACTTTAAATTAATATTAAGGACTAAAATTTTCAGGGATTTTTTAGGTATTCCCCAAAAAATTTCGAGGTGCGAGTGAAAAGAAATAGTCGCCAAACAAATTACCCAAATCTACATATCGCACGTTTAATAATATAGAGATGTAACTCAAAATTCAGGTTTTTGGAGATTTCATCATACAATTAATAAGCTTGATAAGGAGAATATGTCAGCCTAACAGAAAACTAAACCTCCCAAAAATGGCTAAGATATGTATCTTTTGGTATACCAATTGTGTATGAATTGATTAAACTTTGATTGCATTTTCCCACAAAAATTAAGTTTTTAAATAATTCTGTATATTATTTAAATGGCGATATATAGCAAAATCTTTAGAATGAAGAGGTCAATATACAGAAGCTAGTCTTACCATGTGTCCGTCCCTAAGCTACTCCCAAAACAAGATCGTAGTGCGTAGTCGTATCTTTCTAGATCGACACAGCTTGTATCCATCTACTTTCCCGCTAAAACAGGGTATCATACGTTTTTCTGCGCCCATTGGATGGATTTCAGTCAGGGGCTTTCCTATTCTTATGGAGCCTCCCGGATAACTGTTCGGCTCCAGAAGTAACCGAGGACTTGCTGCGCCATATAACTCTGCCATACTCCGTTCTTTCCCCTTCCTTTCTTTTGGGTTACCGAAATGTCTCTTCTGAGTAAGCTTACCAACGATCCAGAATGATTAACAGCTTTAAAATAGCCTCGGATCCCTACAGTGATATAAGTTCTGCCATTAGAAATGGCAATAAAATTTTGTTGACGGCACTGAAGGAGCCCAAATGATCTAACACAAAAAGAGATAATACAGCAGCACCCATACCTTTCCCAGTCCTTCGCGATGCCGGCTGCCATCAAGGTAGGATGTAGCTTGCGTCCTGCGCCGACGATGATCAAGGAAGCAGCTGCTTTTGTGGCCCAGCTGTCGCCTGGGCATGGCTGTTCTTGCAGGAGTTCAGCGTAGGTTTGAAAGCTTACGTAAGTCGCCTAATTCTATGATAAATTTTCGGATGTTTATTCTGTCTGTTCTTGCGGCAAATACGTCTCGTTTCCCTCTTCAGTTCCCTATAATGATCACAAAGACCAGTGATTGTCTCGGGGTCGCTAGCATCCATTACTTCTTCGGCGTCGGCAATTGATTAGCGGTTCCACTGCTCGCGCATATTGCATTTGTGCGCTCGAGTGGAGAATAAGTTGGCCTTCTGTTGTGATTTCAGATGTTAGACGTTGAGATTTCCTTGCGTTGTTGGGCGCATCTTGGCTGCAACAAGATAGTAACCAGAGTCCATGGTTGACCTCGGAGTATACACACGTCTAAAACACGGTAAGCGTGCCTTTCTTCTACCACCATATGATCGATTTCGTTTCTCGGTTTTCGATCTGGAGATAGCCATGTAGCTTGATGGACTTTTTTATGCTGGAATCTAATACTGCATACTACCATCTTACGGGCCCCGGTGAAGTCATTAAGCCTTAAGCCGTTATTGGTCGTTTCGTCGCGCCAAAGATCCCTCCCTTGAAAAAAGATGGCATAGAAAATCGCCAAGCACGATTTTGATATCATGACGGGGAAACGATCGAATGTACGCTCATAGAAGAGATCCTTGGACTCCTCGTACTTCTCTTCCGTCGGTACATGGACGCAGATGAGCGAGATATTGAAGAATCCTGTTTCGATTTTGGATTGCGGCTAGATGTTCGCAGACGATGTGAACAACAGTATTCAGCGACGAAGTCTCTTCTACCACAAATCCAACACTAAATTAAGGCTCCTTGACGTGACAGCTGTAGTAGACGTAGCAAGGCTCCACGCCCCGTCCATCGCATATCTTCGATGGCGGTGATGTCAGCCTTTCTCGTCCTCAGAACATCAACTAGCCGGGCAGACGCACCTTCCCCATTAAGGATTCGGATTTTTCCACGTGCATACCCTCAAACCGTAGTCCTTTATACGTTTTCAGCGGTCGTCACCAATAGAAGGGGGTCTCATCCGAGGCACATTTTTCGTAAATTTGTGCAGTTGTTTCCTTTTTTGAAAACGTATGCTTGGAATGAGATTTAGGTGGGTGCACTTCAAATGGTATTATAGCTTAACCAATCAGACAACTTAGCTAATCGTAGATAAGTATCAAAGAAAATAAATAGCAACCACTATTGACTTTCTTCATTGCATTAATACTTGCGCATTGTTTTCGCATCGCAACAGACTAATTCTTGTTTTATCTTTGGATTTACAGGTGAGCGACCAGAAGCGATGCAAACGAATTCTGCACCCACATCGCGACATAGCGCTGCCGCCCAGCCAACCAAACTAATCAGCGCGGTAGTCGGTGCATTCGTTTTATTACAAATATTAACATTTTGTTGCAACAATACAGGCAACGTAGCGAACATAAGATTTACGAGCAAAGTAAAAACAGCCTCCATAGGATGGCAGCTTGCAACAGCCAAAGCAATTGTAAAACACACCCCACCCAGCAGCACGCAACCACAGCCGCAGTTACAGCGACAACCACAGCAACAGCCACAGCAGCAAGTGCAGCAGCCATATCAAACGTTCGGTCATAGAGTTGCCACATTGCTTGCCATAGGCCTTGTTGCACTGCACCAATGACACCACTGTTGACAGTAAACTTGCGCTCTCAAGCGAACACCGAATACAAGATGATGCAGCCGAGGATGTTACTCAACAGCATCACCACCAACAGTTCCACCAGCGTCAGCAGCCATTGCTGACTCAACAAACTGTTTTGTACTGTGATGTTGCTCTCAAAGCATGGTCGACTGCGCGGTGATAAACTAGTTAATCAGCAATAGGGCGAGCGCGGTTACAACCTAGTGATGTTGGAGTGAGGACGGTTGAGCGGTTACATCAACATACATAACTGTTGAACAAACGGCAGCGGAGGTGATTGCAGTTGTGCGCGATTTGCCTGTGACTCGCTCGGTTGTAATGCTGACTGTATGGGCAAATGCCCATCCCCAAGAACACTGCACATTTCAAGTGGGGAAATTTATAAAACTTGGCGCGGCTAATTACAAAGTATACGCGTACATTTTTATATACATATGCATGTAAAATACATACGAACAGGTGTGTGTATGTACATACTTACCTAAGTTAGTTATGCATAAGCAAAGTAATGAGAAGTCATATACAGACTGGGATGCCAGTGAATAAATTTAACCGGATGGTTAGTGTGTAAAGCGAATACTTGATTAGATAAACTAAAAGTTATACTTAACACGTATGTAATAAGAAATTTAAATATTTTAAATAAGATGTAATACTCGTTATGTATAAACAAACATGTAATATATGTATACAAAATTTATAAAATGGCACAAAAAAAAACACCGAGACACGTAAATTTAATTTTGGGTTGTAAATTATGGATCTGTGCACCATATTTCTTGAGGGTAAAAAATAAGGTAAATATTCAAGAAAATCCCAGACCCCAAAGGACCCAAAGCATAGAAACTCACAAAAATATATACTTTCATTTATTTATTTATAACCTACAGTGATATTTGGTAACCAATTCGTGCCCATAAATCCAAAAATTAGAGTATCGATTTTGGGGGCTTATTCTCTTGGATTGACCTTTTCCACTTGTTTGTATGATTAGTGTGAAAGTCAGCCATGGGTAATTGCGCTTGCTCAATTGTTTTGGCGCTAGCTCAATAACGCCAGCGCCACCTGTGGTGTCAGCGCACTAACACAGCGCAATAGCGCAGTGTACTGAATTGAACACGGCGCCATCTGAGTTTCACCACAGTACCCATCGTCATACAGTGCAGTACACCATACAGCGGTGTCATGTCTATTATTTCAATAATTTTCGGCGCTGAGCAACGTTTGTACCGCCAACTGAATTTAATTGCTAGGAATGTAGTAAATGCCACGATATTCTATCATTCTTGAGTAAAAGCTTTAAATTTGCGTTCTCAGCACTCAGCAAATGCACAAACAAAGTACGTGTAAATTTTCACAGAGTTAAGGCGAATTGTGTGTGTGCCTCATATGTTGCTTGGTGTTAATGGCGCTGGGGCTTTCCATATACTGGTGTTGGCGGGGCAATTCCGGCTACGGTGTTAACGCAATTGCGCCGCGCAGCGCAGTGTTACCCATGCCTAGTGAAAGTGTTAGTTGACGCATCGCTCCGAAAAGTAAAAATGTAATGCTAAAGTTTCAAAGGACGCCAAAATCCATAGGGCCGATCGATTTTAATGCGTTTTTGTTCTACAGGTGAGTTCTATATAAGGTATGATTTTAAAGATTTCTAAAAAAATGTTCAAACGACATAAGTATTTAATGAAATATTGAAGTTAATAAAACCACTTTAAAGAAAAAGTCAAAAGTCATTTTCCATTTTTACGAATAAAAATCTATGTCCATTTCATGATAGTTATATTTTAAACTATAATACTTAGTATTGAATTCGACCGTGCCCGACATTTTGTTTAAGATGCCATTTTGTACCATACAATATTGAAAAAAGATTTTTTTAAATTAATTTTTGTTCATTCAATTTCATGTAAAATGCACGCAAACAGAATTCTAGTATAATACAAACTTAAAATCCTAATACACGTGCGTACTTTGAAATTTAAAAAATATGATTACTTCAAAAATTTATTTAAAAAATTCAGTGCAATTTAGGATAACAATAAGGCTGTCAAATTAAAGGAAAGATTCTGTAGAATTTTAATAGAATAAATTTTTTNTGATATAAGTATTTAATGAAATGTTGAAGTAAATAAAACCATTTTAAAGAGAAAGTCAAAAGTCATTTTCCATTTTTACGAATAAAAATCTATGTCTATTTCATGATAGTTATATTTTAAACTATAATACTTAGTATTGAATCCGACCGTGCCCGACATTTTGTTTAAGATGCCATTTTGTACCATACAATATTGAAAAAAGTTTTTCGGAAGGTGATTTTTTTAAATTAATTTTTGTTCATTCAATTTCATGTAAAATGCACGCAAACAGAATTCTAGTATAAATAATACAAACTTAAAATCCTAATACACGTGCGTACTTTGAAATTTAAAAAATATGATTACTTCAAAAATTTATTTAAAAAATTCAGTGTAATTTAGGATAACAATAAGGCTGTCAAATTAAAGGAAAGATTCTGTAGAATTTTAATAGAATAAATTTTTTTGTGCATTAGGACAAGTGGGTATGGAAAATGTCCTTAACAAATTTTGTCCTTAAATACCCTTGAAAATTTGCTATATTTTTTTTATTGTTGTTTGAGGACTTATATACGCACGACCTCTTCATCGAATTTCGTCCTGCAAACTTTATTAACTTAAAAAGACAAAATTTATTAAAAGCGCATTTTCAATACATACCTATTTGTCCTTGTTAAGCAAAAATCGTTATTGGTTCTAAATTCTACAGAATTTTCTCTCCATATGATACCCATATTGTTATTCTACACTGCACTGATTTTGTTTAATAATCATATCTTTAAAATTCCCAATTTAATAAATGTTTTTTTTTCAAATTAAACATATTTCTTTTACTTTTAGGCGCCATATTGGATCGGCCATTTTGTTTTTTTTTGTTATTTTGATTTCAGATTCAGCGACCTCAAAACCCCTTGGTGATTTTTTTAATTTTTTAAATTATGGGCACAAAATGGGTATCAAATATCTGTGTAATTCATGAAATAGTCATTTTGCGTGAGCACTTTATATAAGGGAGGTTCCACGGGAAAGTGGACCTCAGTGCGAAAATTATTTTCTTTATAAAACTAACAAACGTGTGGATAAGACATATGTAAAAATCTAGATTATACCAAAACATAACAAATTAAAGCTCTAAAAGCATTTTTATTACCATTTTTTACGTTTTGAAATCAAGTTCTAAGTAAATTTTTGGACTGAGTTTAAAGTAGGTTGTGTTGAATGCACTGTCAAATAATATGCGATTCATAATTCAAGTGTTTGATAAAAAAAATCTACTATATATTTTCATCTCATCTGCTCATTTGCTTTTAATAAAATTGTGTTATATATTAAATTATGTGACTGCTTTATCTATATTATGAGTTATTATTAAGCAGTATTGGTCTCGTCCTACCCGTGACAAAAAAAGCTAAAAGTTGTTATATTTAATTACATAAGTTGAGGTNGATATCTGTGTAATTCATGAAATAGTCATTTTGCGTGAGCACTTTGTATAAGGGAGGTTCCATGGGAAAGTGGACCACAGTGCGAAAATTATTTTGTTTGTAAAACTAACAAACGTGTGGATAAGACATATTTAAAAATCTAGATTATACCAAAAAATAACAAATTAAAGCTGTAAATGCAATTCAACAAACTTGAACAATTACAACCAAAAAATTTTAATCTATTTATTAAAACTTTTTGGAAAAATTTTAGGTATGCAGTTTTGTACATCATTTAATTTTATTAGGTTAAAGACCAAATTTTAGACGCTATGAAATCGCGTTGACTTTTAATATTTTTTTCATTTTGCTGACAGTGCTAAGAACTTTACTCCATATAATAGTAATTGACGAGCACACCTACATAATTACTGTCGAAGACTATGAAGATTGAAGTGGTCGAAGTTAGTTTTTCTGCCAACCCTGCCTTACCCTAAGAAGAAATGTGGCGAACCGACTTTACTTTTTTATCTTACTGCCAGCAGAAAATCTTGACAGAAAAAAACTAATTCCAACTGTCATTAAAAAACCTCGTCACTTAAGTTTAATAAGTGTTTTAAGAACTTCTTGTTCTTATTATCGCTCTAGAACCATNAGGTTTACAGGGCCGATAAACTTTATTTTTTTGTTGAGGTGGACGCAAGGGAGGAGGGGGATGTGCGGACTCTTCCATTATCTATACATCCTTGTGGTCAGCTGGTTAAGTTAAGTTACATTTTGCCCAGTTTTAGTTATGTCTCTTTTGTCTATTTAATGTTTATAATTTTTTTATAGAAGTCTGGCCCATTACATAACCAGAACCACATAAATCTACATTTCACACTTCGTACAAAAATTATAAAAATTCAACAAACTTGAACAATTACAACCAAAAAATTTTAATCTATTTATTAAAATTTTTTGGAAAAATTTTAGGTATGCAGTTTTTTACATCATTTAATTTTATTAGGTTAAGGACCAAATTTTAAACGCTATAAAATCGCGTTGACTTTTAATATTTTTTCATTTTGCTGACAGTGCTAGGAACTTTACTCCATATAATAGTAATTGACGAGCACACCTACATAATTACTGTCGAAGACTATGAAGATTGAAGTGGTCGAAGTTAGTTTTTCTGCCAACCCTGCCTTACCCTAAGGAGATATGTGGCAAACCGACTTTACTTTTTTATCTTACTGCCAGCAGAAAATCTTGACAGAAAAAAACTAATTCCAACTGTCATTAAAAAACCTCGTTACTTAAGTTTAATAAGTGTTTTAAGAACTTCTTGTTCTTATTTTGCTCTAGAACCATTTTTCGCATTGGGCCAAGATGAAAAAACTTCCCCAATTGCCTCGCCAGTTGTACAGGATGCTGAATCGAAGGATGTTTTCACTGGAGTCGGGTCATCCATGCGTATCCAGCCTTATCGTTGTATTTTTATAAACTCAACTAGGGACATGCCATTAAAAAGCTCTTCTTCTTCTTCTTTTTTGGCGCTGTAACCGCCTAAGCGATTATGGCNAAGAAATGTGGCGAACCGACTTTACTTTTTTATCTTACTGCCAGCAGAAAATCTTGACAGAAAAAAACTAATTCCAACTGTCATTAAAAAACCTCGTCACTTAAGTTTAATAAGTGTTTTAAGAACTTCTTGTTCTTATTATCGCTCTAGAACCATTTTTCGCATTGGGCCAAGATGAAAAAACTTCCCCAATTGCCTCTCTACTGTGCGAGGTTGCGCCAGTTGTACAGGGTGCTGAGTCGAAGGATGTTTTCACTGGAGTCGGGTCATCCATGCGTATCCAGCCTTATCGTTGTATTTTTATAAACTCAACTAGGGACATGCCGTTAAAAAGCTCTTCTTCTTCTTCTTCTTTTTTGGCGCTGTAACCGCCTAAGCGATTATGCCCGAGTTCAGCAAAGCACGCCAGTCGTTTCTCGTCTGTGCCAACTGACGCCAATTGGAAACGCCAAGTGAAGCCAAGTCCTTCTCCACCTGATCTTTCTATCGCAGTGGGGGCCTCCCTCTTCCTCTGCTACCACCAGCGGGTTCCGAGTTGAATACTTTCAGAGCTGGAGCGCAGGTGGCCATCCGAACGACCTGACCATGCCAGCGCAGCCGCTGTATTTTAATTCGCTGCACTATGTCGATATCGTTATAAAGCTCATACAGCTCATCGTTC